TTTTTTTTTATTAACATAAAGGTACATACAATTAGGCTACTTCGTTTTCATTTGTCAGGTGAAGTCTGAGTTGTAGTTAAGTCCTTCACCCAGGAGATGTGATGAGTAAAAGGCTTATTTTCTTTCTCCACTGTGAATCAACTGACAGCCTGTCATAGAGGTTTATTCAGCCTCATTCTGGGTTCTGTAAGTTAATATGTTGACTGTGTTCTCTCTTATGTTTCCCTTCCATATGGAAGGTTAATGTAGATTACCGCTCCCTAAGTGTTGATGGAGACATCCCTTTAGGAAGTCATCTAATGTGCTTTTTAACTGTTCTTCTGGGAAAACTGTCCATTTACTTTAAGAACCATATTCAGTAAGAGCGTCATATCACATTTTTTCTGGTCAGTCTTTTATCCTCGTTGCTCAAGCTAATGGTGCTCTTCAGTTGCCCTGTGAAAACTGGAGGTAATGATGCACAAGAGAGGGGAGGTGCAAAGCAGGGAGAGGTAGATTACGGTTTGTATAAGGCCAAGTAAGCTTTCATCATGAAGTACAGGAAGAAATACGTATCCTTAGACTCTGATATTTTCTTTGGGGGGGGGGTCTTGTGTTTCAATGGCTTTCTTTATCCATACTTTATTTGTCTAAAAAGTGAAATAGCACTTAGTAACTAGCAGAAATACATGACTATTATTTAATTATTTAATTAAACCACTTCACAATTTCTAAGCATTCATTTAAAGTCACCACAATTAAATCAAACCCCGTCAGATTATGAAGCATCTGTCTTTCTCTTTGCTAGTTTTCTGTTTATCTGAAGTTTTATAATCAGTGGTATGATATGCTTTCATTAAAAAGTATCAGTTAACTGATCTACTCAAAAAGAGCTACAAAAATAAAAATAAACTGATTTATTGTGTCAAATAGGCATTGCCTGTGTGGACCTGCTGGGTTAATATCTATTTTCATCTCATTTGCTCAGGGTAATCTTAGTGCTCCTTCGTATTTTAGCCTTTCTTCTAAGAATATTTACAACATACGTAAACTTACTATTAGTTAGCTAAAAAATAGTCTAAGTTTGGACTTTGCATAAAGTTTTGCAGCAAGGAAGCTTTCAATAGTGGCTCATTTTGAGTGAGAGACTGTTTCACTAAAGGTTCTTTCTGCTGTCAAAGAACAGCAAGCACTGGCCATCAGCGTCCGCACATTTTTGTTAACCTGATAACAGCCCTCTAAGTTCTCTCTGTAACCTGAGAAATTCATGATCCAACGGATTTGAGAGGTGCCAAAGTCAACTAGAAAATGACAGAACTAGGACTATAGTAAAAAGACCAAGCCTGGACCCCTAAATTAAAGAGTGGCAAGGACAAGTCAAGTACAGTTCAGGATAAAATTAAGAGATTGGGAAAGAAGTCAACTGGCTAGCCAGGCTTAGATGTGATCTGTTGACAAAGTTATGTTAAGCATAGATAACTCACGGAGCCAAGCTTTTGAGAGAACAATTGTTATGGAAATGATCTTAGCATTTTCAATACTTTTTTT